AGGTTTCGTCCATCTTTACGTCAGGGTGTCCATTGACAGGGGACCAGTTTCAGCCCGTGCGACGCAAGTGCTGAGACGGATTGCTTTTGCGTCTGTTTCTGCGTCTGCGTCTGCAAAGGCGTTGCCGCAGCAGGGTCTCTGTCTGTCTCTGTGTGGTGTCTCTCTTCATACTAAGGACCCCTTTTGTGAATTCTGAAAGGACCACATACACAAAATGTACCTGTTGCTGGCACACAACCTGCCCATTCCCTGACTCAAGCCAGCGAAACTGCAGCTCTCCCTTTCAGCTTCCAAATGCCTGGACCAAACAGCACACAGGAACGAACCAAAAATACAAAGAGAAAGTCGGAACTCTACTGCCGCTTTTGCTTGAAGCGGCTTTGAAACAGTGCTAAGGAAACCTCCGAATTTCAGGGGATGCGTTTCTTTCCTGGGCCTCTGGCCCATTCGAAGAAAAGGCCCTGCTCAGTGTTGTGGAAGAAGCACCGGGCGCCAGATGCATCCACATCCCACCTGTCTATCGTCGGCTTGGAGGAAACGATTCCAAGGGACAATGATTGGATGCTCAAAATCAGACCACCAAAAAGAGGGTCGATGATTGAAGGCTTGGATTTTCAGATTCGCCAAAAAGGGTACCTATTGGTGCGTAGGAACGAACATCCGGCCGGTGTCGCAGGCAAAATGTTGCTTGCATGCTAATGGATCACCGAACCAAAGGACTGATTCACCTTTGCGCAATTGCTGTGCCAAAGCCCCGACCAGCTTTCATCATTGTGCATCTGCTGAACCTTGTCGACAATCAGCCTTCCCAACCAAATTTGCTGCTGAGCCATTGCAAGAACAAGACTGCGACCTATCCAGCCTCCCACTCCGCCTTGGGAGGACAAAGGTCATGATGGGCCGTTGCATGTGGGGGGGGGGTTGTTTGAGGGGTTCTGGGGAAAGTCGCGAGTCTTTACACTTTCCGTCAACGGCATTTCTCCCTCGCCGAGCGCCACCTTTGGCAGGTGAAAACATGATCCCATGGTTCTTTTCACGAACCACCCCAAATTTCCTTTGGGGTAGTGATAGTTTACTGATTGCAGGACTCCCTGAAGAGAGGGCTAGCGCTGTTCAGTCGTGCCCCAAAAAAAAACGACAACTTCAAAAGTCTCCAAAGTCCCAACTGATTAATAGGTTCCAACGAAGCTGCCACGCCCAAGACCACTCCCTCGCCCTCGCGCAGTCAAGACTCCCCACCTGTTCTCCGCTCGCAAAAACGCGTCGCGCCAATGGGCGCCCAAAGGAAGGTGCTGGACCCTGGGCGGTCGCCACTCACAACCCACTTGCTTTGTGGATCAAGGCTTATAGGCACTTATAGGTGTGGCTCTTTTTTGGAAGCTACCCCCTTTGGAAGGCTTACAGGTGTGTCTCTTTTTTTTGAGACGCTACCGCCTTTGGTGTGATTCTTGAGGAACATCAAAGGAAACTAGCCATTGTTTGGCGGCCATCTAGCTATTTAAAGACACGCCCACATGGGCCAACAAGCAGATGGCACAAATTCCTTAAAAGGGATGACTACATCCAAATGGGGGAAGTCCATCTGCTTTGCCACCCAGCTGCAAGTCCGAGCGCCTGCTTTATGGTCCAGGGTCTTGGGCTCTGCGACAAACATCCTAGTTGCGCTAGGGCCCACACGATGCAAACTATGGCGAGCATGGAAAATTATCACAATCCGCTCCCCCCCCCTTCCGAGGATTTTCTGAACTTGACTGCTTGCTGCGGGACACTGTGACCTTGCCACACATGAACAGCCATGATGACAAGGGCTCGTATGTGCTCAGGCCAATGCTTCTTTGTTGCTCGCCCAAAAGACGGGCCATGTGTGGTGACCAAGACCCTTGTCGCAAACGGGTGAATGACCATGCCGGAAATTTGCCAAAACGGGTCTTCCACCGAGGCATGTTGTGCTGCCTATGTCTGCCTGTGGCTTGCAGCTAAAACAGGTGGGTGCCAAACAGCAAGCTCCCACATGTGCAAAATGCCAGGGATAGGTGACGAAAGGCGGTAATTACTGCCAGCACCCTTGTGACCACGGCCGTCATGCATTGTGCGGGCGCTGAGTCATGCAGTTCAGTTGTTATGCAAACTGAGAAGTCCCAGTGATTGAATGCGCGAAAAGGATCTTGACCTATACCTGAAAGCATGCAACGCTCTCAAGTTCCGGGAGGTCAGAATTCATGCCCTCCTTTGGTTCCCGGTTTCTCGGCTCGTCTTCCCCTCCCCGCCTCGGAGCCCCCGTTGACTCCGCGCTCTCCGCGGGCTCAGCGCTCTCCACGGGCTCCACGGGCTCGGGCTCCGGCGCCGCCGGCCCGGGCGCCGCCTTGGAGGGCGCCGGCGAAGCCTGGCGACCGGAAATGGAAAGGGGTGGGGGGAGCCTATTGAAAACCCCGGGTGACCTCAGAGACAAAAGCACATATATATATATATATATATGTACATACATACTTATATACATGTGTATGTATATATATATATATATTATTCTTAGTATTATTATTATTGTTATTATTATTATTATTATTATTATTATTATTATTATTATTATTATTATTATTATTATTATTATTATTATTACTATTATTATTACTATTATTATTATTATTAATGATGATTAGGATTATTATATATATACACACACACCTGCACACTCTCGAACCCCCAAGAAGGGAAGAAGAGATCCAAGTTCGAGGAAAGGATCCGCGATTCGAGTGGGCGTGCTCCGGGTAGTTCGAGTAAGGAGTTCGAGCGGGCAGCGCGCTCAGACGGGCTTCACTTGGCTGACGTGGCTTCCGAAGGGATGGAAAAACACCGGCACACAGGAGCGAAGCGCACATAGCATCTGCGGGTGCATCAATCTCGAGTCTTAGATTGACATCACAGGCTAGAGCAAAGGTCTTTGTTGGTGCCAGCTTTGCGCTGCCCCTAACACCGCTGCTGACAAACAAGGTTCCAGGGTTGATCTGGAACTTGGCTCACACAAACGAGAAACCAAGCAAGTACGCAAGCCAAGCAAATAGGAAAACGGACAAGCCAAGAAGCAAGCAAACACGCAAACAATAACAAGTAAACTGCTCAGGGGCTGTCTCGATCGACCGCATAGGCTCCCAAACTGCTTTACGCGGGCAAGTACATCAGCCTTTGGGTTGTCAAACGCCCAGGCGGAAGATCCTGTTGGGCTGTTGCAGGATCACACTCACTGAAGATCCAAAGCAAATGTATTGTTTAACGCTAGAACGAAAGCCGGATCCTGTATTGACTTGCATTCCTTTGCTGTTGCATGTCGCCGCCTGCGCACCATTGCGCCGTGAAACTGTGTTCCTCGTCATGGTACGTTCCCACTTGTCATTATTACTGCCAGACTTCGTGACTCAGAATCTCCTGCTGCCTGCTGCGGTAGGGGATGCATCCTGAAGGGGTCAGGTGTTTTCTGGCACATGTCGTCTTGGTTCGGTTCGGACCGGGAATGGTTCGTCTTGAATCCAAATGAGACTTATCAAATCACCAATCGCGGGGTAAGCTGAACATGAGTGGGCCCTCATTGCATCTCGTTTCTCAGAGGACCACTCGCCACAAACCCTCTGGGCTTCTGCACAAGGATGGACAAGACATGGCACTTCAAATGCTCCACTGTGTCCGAATGTCCCAAGTTGATCACTTGATCTATCAACATGGAACCCCAAAATACCCTTAGTAACTTAGTAGAGTCACAACTGGTCAGAGAAGGCCTAAATAGTTGGTATTCTGTGTCCCTTGTGGGAGGGTGCTTGCGTTTGAACAAGGAACCATAAGGAAACGGCCCAAGGCAAGGAAGACTGTAGCCCGACAACGCTGAAAATCGCCTGGTGGTTTCAAGCACTTCCACCCGATTCAATCTCATTTGTGGCCATTGCTTTCATGATGTAATGTAAACACGCTTGCGACGATCCAAGCCAGCGGTCATTAGCCTTTGCTTTTTTATAGTGACCTGAGGGGCACGGTTGTCCTTCAAGCTCAACATGACGCAATTGCACCTAGCAAGCCATACCAACACTTACAGGACCATGTCAACCGTTTCCCCCTCGATCTTTCAGGAATTTGCCATGACTGGCGGTTGATCTGCTTGCGTTTTCTGGGGTTGTCTTGGGTACCCCGGAAATTGGTTGTTTCCCGTGGGCATTCTCTTTGAAGCAACCTCAAAAGAATCAAAAAGAGACCCCAAGAATATGATTCCCCAAATGTCCCCAAAATGGACAAATTGACCACTGGATAGTTTGACCGGGCCTCATATCTCACAAAGCCCCAGTCCTTCCGAACTTGACTTGGGATCCCTATCCCTTTGATCCAAAGATCCTGAGGCAGAAAGTTGGTCCCAAAGAAAACGAAACAAACCCAATGCCAAAAACCTTGCTCTACCCTGTCTAGCTACTGTTGTTTACGGGTTCCCACTTTCAGGTGCGAAAACGATCGGGAAAAAAGAAAACTTGGGACTTCAGCTTGGATCTTACGAAAATTGTCCGCTGCCAGCCTCGGCCTCAAGCCAGCGCCTGCGAAGCGCGCGGTAAAGCGGCTTCCACCCAGCGATCAAATACGTTTTAAGCTCAAAACCGGGGGACCTATAAAAAAAGTGGGTTTTTGGTTTGTTTCTTTGCCTAAAAAGACCCATCCAAAAGGGAATCCCGATTTTTGAGACCTGGGCGCTCCGGAGCCTAAACAAAGCTTGGCTGTTTTTGTTGTTTTCGGAGACCAAGAGGTGACCCTTTTCTTGGCCACGGCTTTTAAGGGGTCCTTAGCTCGTTTTGGCACAGCATGTGCACCAAGATCGGCTTGCACCGCCACCCCTCTGGTGGGGTCTTTGACAAAGTTCCTGTGGGTAGTGGTGATTCAGACGGATTCCTCAGAATGGTTGTGCTACAAACCACAAGAAAGGGGGTGCTTCGGCCCTGGCACAAATGTCAGTCCCCACACGTCGGGCTTGATTTCCTCCAGAGACCTGACACTCATTTGCCTGCACGTGGCGCCTCGCCATTTGGCGAGCCGCAACCCACCGCATGCGGGCATGCGGGCGGGAGCGAGCCGAAGATGAGACCGGCGGAAGATAGCCTGCTGTTTCGCATCAGGCAGCCGTGAACATGCCAATGCCTTGACTCTGCCCATGCAGAGATTGCAAGTGGGCCTTCCGGTCAAGGCAGCATGTTGGAGAGGAATGGAGCATGCAAACCGGCTGCATATGCAAAGATGTGCTGCACCAACCTGAACAATACTCCGTTTGGAGTTTCACAAACTCATGCAAACAGCAACTGGCATCATCTCACGATTCATGTAGTGGTGGCTTCGGTTGCTGCACTTGCCTCAGGAATCTGGTTCACCAGAAAGCTGCGGAACTCTTGGTATGCATTTTCCACCTGCTCATTGTACCACTTCAGCGTCAGGTCCCATGCATCCGGGTCCGACTCATAGATGGCAAGCTCTTTCAAGGACCCCGTAAGCCGCTTCTGAATCTTCTCCTCTGTTTCTGTGCCTCTTCCTCGCAAGCGCTGCTCCAGCACTGCTGCAGTGGGCGGGGCAAAGAAAACAAAAGAGCAAGTCTTTGACAGAGACGACTTTCGCACATTGGCTGCGCCCTGCACGTCGATGTCCAACAGGCACTCCCTGCCTTTCCTCATTACATCCTCTACCGCTGCCATGGACGTCCCATAGAGGTTGCCATGCACCTCAGGGCAAAGCCTGTTTTGTGACCGAGTTCTTGGCTGCGGTATTAAAAAATAAAGTTGCTTGCCGGAATGAATTGACGTGCGTGGGTCGACGGTTTTGCCTCTTCATTTTGGACTGCTAAGACAAGCAAAGCTGAAGCGATTGTGACAACAGGGCCAAGAAACTGCCAAGTCATCAACAACTCACCCCGCACCTCGGCATGCTCCACAAACAGTCCTGCATCGATATCCCGCTGCATCTGCTCGCGTGAGACAAAGTGATAGTCCACACCATCCTGCTCCCCTGGTCGTGGGTCTCGAGTCGTGTGCGACACAGAAAAGCCAAATTGCCCAGGGAATTCTGCCATGAGCTTCTTGATCAAGGTGGACTTGCCCACACCACTTGGACCAGTGATCACGCAGGCACCTCCCTTGAAGCTGGGAGCCCGTCTTACAGTGGCAATGTCTGCGGCGGCACTTGCCTCCGGAATCTGGTTCACCAGAAAGCTGCGGAACTCTTGGTATGCATCTTCCACCTGCTCATTGTACCACTTCAGCGTCAGATCCCATGCATCCGGGTCCGACTCATAGATGGCAAGCTCTTTCAAGGAACCCGTGAGCCGCTTCTGAATCCTCTCCTCTGTTTCTGTGCCTCTTCCGCGCAAGCGCTGCTCCAGCACTGCTGCAGTGGGCGGGGCAAAGAAAACAAAAGAGCAAGTCTTTGACAGAGACGACTTTCGCACATTGGCTGCGCCCTGCACGTCGATGTCCAGCAGGCACACCCTGCCTTTTCTCATCACATCCTTTACTGCTGCCATGGACGTCCCATAGAGGTTGCCATGCACCTCAGGGCAAAGCCTGTTTTGTGACCGAGTTCTTGGCTGCTGCGTAAATAAGGTTGCTTGCCAGACTGAAACAAAGAGCGTGTGTAAACGGTTGAACCTCTTCATTTTGGACTGCTACACAAGCAAAGCTGAAGAGATTGTGACAACAGGGCCAAGAATGTGACAAGTCATCAACAACTCACCCGCACCTCGGCATGCTCCACAAACAGTCCTGCATCGATATCCCGCTGCATCTGCTCGCGTGAGACAAAGTGGTAGTCCACACCATCCTGCTCCCCTGCTCGTGGGTCTCGAGTCGTGTGCGACACAGAAAAGCCAAATTGCCCAGGGAATTCTGCCATGAGCTTCTTGATCAAGGTGGACTTGCCCACACCACTTGGACCAGTGATCACGCAGGCACCTCCCTTGAAACTGGGAGCCCGTCTTACAGTGGCAATGTCTGCTGCGGCACTTGCCTCCGGAATCTGGTTCACCAGAAAGCTGCGGAACTCTTTGTATGCATCTTCCACCTGCTCATTGTACCACTTCAGCGTCAAATCCCATGCATCCGGGTCCGACTCATAGATGGCGAGCTCTTTCAAGGACCCTGCAAGCCGCTTCTGAATCCTCTCCTCTGTTTCTGTGCCTCTTCCTCGCAAGCGCTGCTCCAGCACTGCTGCAGTGGGCGGGGCAAAGAAAACAAAAGAGCAAGTCTTTGACAGAGACGACTTTCGCACATTGGCTGCGCCCTGCACGTCGATGTCCAACAGGCACACCCTGCCTTTCCTCATCACGTCCTCTACCGCTGCCATGGACGTCCCATAGAGGTTGCCATGCACCTCAGGGCAAAGCCTGTTTTGTGACCGAGTTCTTGGCTGCGGTATTAAAAAATAAAGTTGCTTGCCACGGTTTTGCCTCTTCATTCTGGACTGCGAAGACAAGCAAAGCTGAAGAGATTGTGACAACAGGGCCAAGAATCTGACAAGTCATCAACAACTCACCCCGCACCTCGGCATGCTCCACAAACAGTCCTGCATCGATATCCCGCTGCATCTGCTCGCGTGAGACAAAGTGATAGTCCACACCATCCTGCTCTCCTGCTCGTGGGTCTCGAGTCGTGTGCGACACAGAAAAGCCAAATTGCCCAGGGAATTCTGCCATGAGCTTCTTGATCAAGGTGGACTTGCCCACACCACTTGGACCAGTGATCACACAGGCACCTCCCTTGAAACTGGGAGCCCGTCTTACAGTGGCAATGTCTGCTGCAGCACTTGCCTCCGGAATCTGGTTCACCAGAAAGCTGCGGAACTCTTGGTATGCATCTTCCACCTGCTCATTGTACCACTTCAACGTCAGATCCCATGCATCCGGGTCCGACTCATAGATGGCAAGCTCTTTCAAGGAACCCGTGAGCCGCTTCTGAATCCTCTCCTCTGTTTCTGTGCCTCTTCCGCGCAAGCGCTGCTCCAGCACTGCTGCAGTGGGCGGGGCAAAGAAAACAAAAGAGCAAGTCTTTGACAGAGACGACTTTCGCACATTGGCTGCGCCCTGCACGTCGATGTCCAGCAGGCACACCCTGCCTTCTCTCATCACATCCTTTACTGCTGCCATGGACGTCCCATAGAGGTTGCCATGCACCTCAGGGCAAAGCCTGTTTTGTGACCGAGTTCTTGGCTGCTGCGTAAATAAGGTTGCTTGCCAGACTGAAACAAAGAGCGTGTGTAAACGGTTGAACCTCTTCATTTTGGACTGCTACACAAGCAAAGCTGAAGAGATTGTGACAACAGGGCCAAGAATCTGGCAAGTCATCAACAACTCAACCCGCACCTCGGCATGCTCCACAAACAGTCCTGCATCGATATCCCGCTGCATCTGCTCGCGTGAGACAAAGTGATAGTCCACACCATCCTGCTCACCTGCTCGTGGGTCTCGAGTCGTGTGCGACACAGAAAAGCCAAATTGCCCAGGGAATTCTGCCATGAGCTTCTTGATTAAGGTGGACTTGCCCACACCACTTGGACCAGTGATCACGCAGGCACCTCCCTTGAAACTGGGAGCCCGTCTTACAGTGGCAATGTCTGCTGCGGCACTTGCCTCCGGAATCTGGTTCACCAGAAAGCTGCGGAACTCTTGGTATGCATCTTCCACCTGCTCATTGTACCACTTCAGCGTCAGATCCCATGCATCCGGGTCCGACTCATAGATGGCAAGCTCTTTCAAGGACCCTGTGAGCCGCTTCTGAATCCTCTCCTCTGTTTCTGTGCCTCTTCCTCGCAAGCGCTGCTCCAGCACTGCTGCAGTGGGCGGGGCAAAGAAAACAAAAGAGCAAGTCTTTGACAGAGACGACTTTCGCACATTGGCTGCGCCCTGCACGTCGATGTCCAACAGGCACACCCTGCCTTTTCTCATCACATCCTGTACTGTTGCCATGGACGTCCCATAGAGGTTGCCGTGCACCTCGGGCGAACCCTGTTTTGTGACCGATTTCTGGGCTGCTGTATCAAAAAATAAAGTTGCTGGTCAAATGAACCAAAGTGCCTAGGTCAACGGTATGGCCTCTTCATTCCACACTGCTACACAAGCAAAGCTGAAGAGATTGTAACAACAGGGCAAAGAATCTGACAAGTCATCAACAACTCAACCCGCACCTCGGCATACTCCACAAACAGCCCTGCATCAATATCCCGCTGCATCTGCTCGCGCGAGACAAAGTGGTAGTCCACACCATCCTGCTCCCCTGCTCGTGGGTCTCGAGTCGTGTGCGACACAGAAAAGCCAAATTGCCCAGGGAATTCTGCCATGAGCTTCTTGATCAAGGTGGACTTGCCCACACCACTTGGACCAGTGATCACGCAGGCACCTCCCTTGAAACTGGGAGCCCGTCTTACAGTGGCAATGTCTGCTGCGGCACTTGCCTCCGGAATCTGGTTCACCAGAAAGCTGCGGAACTCTTGGTATGCATCTTCCACCTGCTCATTGTGCCACTTCAGCGTCAGATCCCATGCATCCGAGTCCGACTCATAGATGGCAAGCTCTTTCAAGGACCCTGCAAGCCGCTTCTGAATCCTCTCCTCGGTTTCTGTGCCTCTTCCTCGCAAGCGCTGCTCCAGCACTGCTGCAGTGGGCGGGGCAAAGAAAACAAAAGAACAAGTCTTTGACAGACACGACTTTCGCACATTGGCTGCGCCCTGCACGTCGATGTCCAGCAGGCACACCCTGCCTTTCCTCGTCACATCCTCTACTGCTGCCATGGACGTACCATAGAGGTTGCCATGCACCTCGGGGCGAACCCTGTTTTCTGCCTAGCTCAGCTTCACGCCTACCTCTGAAGTGGGAGAATATGAGTTCTTGGCTATCGTGTAAGTAAACTTGTTTGCCAGAATGAACATGAGTGTGTACTCAAAGGCCCAAGCATCTGAAAAGTCATCAAAACTCACCCCGCACCTCGGCATGCTCCACAAACAGCCCTGCATCAATATCCCGCTGCATCTGCTCGCGCGAGACAAAGTGGTAGTCCACACCATCCTGCTCCCCTGCTCGTGGGTCTCGAGTCGTGTGCGACACAGAAAAGCCAAATTGCCCAGGGAATTCTGCCATGAGCTTCTTGATCAAGGTGGACTTGCCCACCCCACTTGGACCAGTGATCACGCAGGCACCTCCCTTGAAACTGGGAGCCCGTCTTACAGTGGCAATGTCTGCTGCAGCGCTTGCCTCCGGAATCTGGTTCACCAGAAAGCTGCGGAACTCTTGGTATGCATCTTCCACCTGCTCATTGTACCACTTCAGCGTCAGATCCCATGCATCCGGGTCCGACTCATAGATGGCAAGTTCTTTCAAGGAACCCGTGAGACGCTTCTGAATCCTCTCCTCTGTTTCTGTGCCTCGTCCGCGCAAGCGCTGCTCCAGCACTGCTGCGGTGGGCGGGGCAAAGAAAACAAAAGAGCAAGTCTTTGACAGAGACGACTTTCGCACATTGGCTGCTCCTTGCACGTCGATGTCCAACAGGCACACCCTGCCTTTCCTCGTCACATCCTCTACCGCTGCCATGGACGTCCCATAGAGGTTGCCATGCACCTGGGGGCGAACGCTGTTTGCTGCCTAGCTCAGCTTCATGCGTAGCTCTGAAGTGGGGGAATGGCAGTTCTTGGCTATCGTGTAGGTAAACTTGCTTGCCAGAATGAACATGAGTGTGTAATCAAAGGCCCAAGCATCTGACAAGTCATCAAAAACTCACCCCGCACCTCGGCATGCTCCACAAACAGCCCTGCATCAATATCCCGCTGCATCTGCTCGCGCGAGACAAAGTGGTAGTCCACACCATCCTGCTCCCCTGCTCGTGGGTCTCGAGTCGTGTGCGACACAGAAAAGCCAAATTGCCCAGGGAATTCTGCCACGAGCTTCTTGATCAAGGTTGACTTGCCCACACCACTTGGACCCGTAATCACGCAGGCACCCCCCTTGAAACTGGGAGCCCGTCTTGCAGTGGCAATGTCTGCTGCAGCACTTGCCTCCGGAATCTGGTTCACCAGAAAGCTGCGGAACTCTTGGTATGCATCTTCCACCTGCTCATTGTACCACTTCAGCGTCAGATCCCATGCATCCGGGTCCGACTCATAGATGGCAAGTTCTTTCAAGGAACCCGTGAGCCGCTTCTGAATCCTCTCCTCTGTTTCTGTGCCTCTTCCGCGCAAGCGCTGCTCCAGCACTGCTGCAGTGGGCGGGGCAAAGAAAACAAAAGAGCAAGTCTTTGACAGAGACGACTTTCGCACATTGGCTGCTCCTTGCACGTCGATGTCCAACAGGCACACCCTGCCTTTCCTCGTCACATCCTCTACTGCTGCCATGGACGTACCATAGAGGTTGCCATGCACCTCGGGGCGAACGCTGTTTGCTGCCTAGCTCAGCTTCACGCCTACCTCTGAAGTGGGAGAATATGAGTTCTTGGCTATCGTGTAAGTAAACTTGTTTGCCAGAATGAACATGAGTGTGTAATCAAAGGCCCAAGCATCTGACAAGTCATCAAAACTCACCCCGCACCTCGGCATGCTCCACAAACAGCCCTGCATCAATATCCCGCTGCATCTGCTCGCGCGAGACAAAGTGGTAGTCCACACCATCCTGCTCCCCTGGTCGTGGGTCTCGAGTCGTGTGCGACACAGAAAAGCCAAATTGCCCAGGGAATTCTGCCATGAGCTTCTTGATCAAGGTGGACTTGCCCACACCACTTGGACCTGTGATCACGCAGGCACCCCCCTTGAAACTGGGAGCCCGTCTTGCAGTGGCAACGTCCGCTGCAGCACTTCCCTCCGGAATCTGGTTCACCAGAAAGCTGCGGAACTCTTGGTATGCATCTTCCACCTGCTCATTGTGCCACTTCAGCGTCAGATCCCATGCATCCGGGTCCGACTCATAGATGGCGAGCTCTTTCAAGGAACCCGTGAGCCGCTTCTGAATCCTCTCCTCGGTTTCTGTGCCTCTTCCGCGCAAGCGCTGCTCCAGCACTGCTGCAGTGGGCGGGGCAAAGAAAACAAAAGAGCAAGTCTTTGACAGAGACGACTTTCGCACATTGGCTGCTCCTTGCACGTCGATGTCCAGCAGGCACACCCTGCCTTTCCTCGTCACATCCTCTACTGCTGCCATGGACGTACCATACAGGTTGCCATGCACCTCGGGGCGAACGCTGTTTGCTGCCTAGCTCAGCTTCACGCCTACCTCTGAAGTGGGAGAATATGAGTTCTTGGCTATCGTGTAAGTAAACTTGTTTGCCAGAATGAACATGAGTGTGTAATCAAAGGCCCAAGCATCTGACAAGTCATCAAAACTCACCCCGCACCTCGGCATGCTCCACAAACAGCCCTGCATCAATATCCCGCTGCATCTGCTCGCGCGAGACAAAGTGGTAGTCCACACCATCCTGCTCCCCTGGTCGTGGGTCTCGAGTCGTGTGCGACACAGAAAAGCCAAATTGCCCTGGGAATTCTGCCATGAGCTTCTTGATCAAGGTGGACTTGCCCACACCACTTGGACCTGTGATCACGCAGGCACCTCCCTTGAAAGTGGGAGCCCGTCTTACAGTGGCAATGTCTGCTGCAGCGCTTGCCTCCGGAATCTGGTTCACCAGAAAGCTGCGGAACTCTTGGTATGCATCTTCCACCTGCTCATTGTACCACTTCAGCGTCAGATCCCATGCATCCGGGTCCGACTCATAGATGGCGAGCTCTTTCAAGGAACCCGTGAGCCGCTTCTGAATCCTGTCCTCGGTTTCTGTGCCTCTTCCGCGCAAGCGCTGCTCCAGCACTGCTGCAGTGGGCGGGGCAAAGAAAACAAAAGAGCAAGTCTTTGACAGAGACGACTTTCGCACATTGGCTGCGCCCTGCACGTCGATGTCCAGCAGGCACACCCTGCCTGTCCTCGTCACATCCTCTACTGCTGCCATGGACGTACCATAGAGGTTGCCATGCACCTCGGGGCGAACCCTGTTTTCTGCCTAGCTCAGCTTCACGCCTAGCTCTGAAGTGGGGGAATGGCAGTTCTTGGCTATCGTGTAAGTAAACTTGCTTGCCAGAATGAACATGATTGTGTCAACAAAGCCCCAAGAATCTGACAAGTCATCAAAAACTCAACCCGCACCTCGGCATGCTCCACAAACAGCCCTGCATCAATATCCCGCTGCATCTGCTCGCGTGAGACAAAGTGGTAGTCCACACCATCCTGCTCCCCTGGTCGTGGGTCTCGAGTCGTGTGCGACACAGAAAAGCCAAATTGCCCTGGGAATTCTGCCATGAGCTTCTTGATCAAGGTGGACTTGCCCACACCACTTGGACCAGTGATCACGCAGGCACCTCCCTTGAAACTGGGAGCCCGTCTTACAGTGGCAATGTCTGCTGCAGCGCTTGCCTCCGGAATCTGGTTCACCAGAAAGCTGCGGAACTCTTGGTATGCATCTTCCACCTGCTCATTGTGCCACTTCAGCGTCAGATCCCATGCATCCGGGTCCGACTCATAGATGGCGAGCTCTTTCAAGGAACCCGTAAGCCGCTTCTGAATCCTCTCCTCGGTTTCTGTGCCTCTTCCGCGCAAGCGCTGCTCCAGCACTGCTGCAGTGGGCGGGGCAAAGAAAACAAAAGAGCAAGTCTTTGACAGAGACGACTTTCGCACATTGGCTGCGCCCTGCACGTCGATGTCCAGCAGGCACACCCTGCCTTTCCTCGTCACATCCTCTACTGCTGCCATGGACGTACCATAGAGGTTGCCATGCACCTCGGGGCGAACCCTGTTTTCTGCCTAGCTCAGCTTCACGCCTAGCTCTGAAGTGGGGGAAAGGGATTTCTTGGCTATCGTGTGAGTAAACTTGCTTGCCAGAATGAACATGAGTGTGTCAACAAAGCCCCAAGAATCTGACAAGTCATCAAAAACTCAACCCGCACCTCGGCATGCTCCACAAACAGCCCTGCATCAATATCCCGCTGCATCTGCTCGCGCGAGACAAAGTGGTAGTCCACACCATCCTGCTCCCCTGGTCGTGGGTCTCGAGTCGTGTGCGACACAGAAAAGCCAAATTGCCCAGGGAATTCTGCCATGAGCTTCTTGATCAAGGTGGACTTGCCCACACCACTTGGACCAGTGATCACGCAGGCACCTCCCTTGAAGCTAGGCGCACGCCGTACTTGTGCAATCTGAGCTGGGCTGACTGCTGTGATTTGTCCTCAACCGCGCAAGTCAAGAACAGAACCACTCCAAAAGGTTTCGCAGGGGGGAAGCAGCATTCCCGTCTTAGTTTTGCCGCCCCGGCTATTTTGGTGTTGCAAGTCGGCATGTCGACCGATTTCATACCGCAAGCAGCTATTTGGCCATGGGTCAAAACCCCGTACCCCCGTGAACATCCCAATCCAACCACTAAAATAGACTAAAATGGGTGGTGCACCTACCCCCACAATGGTACCATTGGTTTTGACCCACAGCCATTTGAACATAGAAACACCCGCATGGGTTTTTTTCCTGCAGCCCCTCCTGTCAGCTGCGATGTCATCCAGGCAAAGGGATCTGGAGGCTTCTGTAGGAGAAGTGTGGCGACCAAGGACTTGAAGTAGTCCGGCAGGCCGTGCGCGGCCAGGTATTGACCATTCTCCTGGGGTCAACACGAACAACCCATGACCCCAACGAGCCCTGTGGATGCCCGAAATATCGAGAAGTGGGCTTCCCTTTGAAGGAGTGCTTGCCATTGCAAAAGAGCGCCGTCTTCCTCTCACACGGTCATGGTGAAACGCAAAAGGGAGACCCAAGGCCCAAAAGTTTCGAGTGCCCCGATTTGTCAAACAGCGAGGTGAAAAACGTCTGCCCATGGTGACCTGGCAGTGATCTAGACCCAAAGTATGCCGCCAACAACTGACAGTTGAAGCGGGTAAGCGTCCCCATTTGATGGTTGAGAGCAGGCGTCTTCTTTCCTTCAGTTTCAATAAGCCAGGTTTGCCGCTTGACCCCCTTTTAAGTTGGACTCTCTATTTTCAATGAGTTGTCGAAAGGCAAGCCCCCATAACCAGATATCCACCGACCCCTTCCACTGACAAGGGGATGCAGGAAGGGGTGGAACCCAGAGACATATGCACGAGTCGGCTGCTACGTTCAGATCATCGTGATGTTGTGTTTGGACAAGCTTCCGGTGGAACATGTACATGCATCTGTAAATTCTACTGTACTTCCGCGAGCTGAATTAAGGGAAGGACCTTTATGATGGTGAGCTCATTATCCCCAGGTGAGCTCGGAATACAGTAAGCAGGCAATGCATGATGCGACCATGGAGATGTTGGTGACGTCGACTATTGCCTTAAGACATGCGGCCAGGGGACGTCGACTATTTGTGTGCACGATTTGATTGTTACGTTTGCCTGCCAGATTCAAATGGCGTCTAAGCAAAAAATGTGCGCTTCTATTGGACACCTCTCAGGCACGTAGAACATGCACGGAAGGACATCGACTATCTTTCGCCCTGATGCTGGGGTCTCGACCATTGCAGCCTTATATTGATCACACAATTCGCCTCAAGCTTTGCATGTGTGTGTGGAGTTGGCAGCATGAGCATCACCAGCATCATTGGCACCTCTGGCGTCGCGCGCACTCCCATGCACCCCATGCAATGGGAGCAAAGAAAGTACATGGGCTGCAAATAGTGGCAGCATGTTGGTTCGGTTGCCGGTTGCAAGTGGCTGTTGGTGGTGCTGGCTGTTGGTGTTGCTGGTGTTGCTGGTGATGCCGGTGATTCTAATGATGCTGATGATGTTGGTAGTGTGCGATGCTGCTGATGCTGGTGGTGTTGGTGATGCTGGAGATGCCGCTTGCCAGTGCCAGTAGCGCACCCCGACCCCCACAAGTGCTTCCTTTTCGCTTTCTGGTGCGCTGAAAGCTGGTGGTGAGGATGCTAATGATGTCGATGCAGATTATCTGAATCTCATTTCCCAAAATGGTGTGCTTGCTCCCGCAAATGGCCATCTGACGCTGTTGCGTTGTGCAACGCGCTGGTGTCGGGATGTTTCGGCACAGGGTTGCCACACGCTCGTCCCATCCTCTGAGCTGGCCGCTTTGTGGATGTCTGCAGTCTTCCCGTTATCGGGGAGGATCTCCACCTGGTTCCAGAGTGCCCAAACAAGTCGCGTCACTCGCTTAGTTTGGAATTTGCACTCAGTCGACTTGTTCACCTGGCAGCACGTGCGTAAAAGTTGTACTTCCCAAAACATACTGCCATTGACAACTTACTTCTCTATGCTATTGCTCAAACCTCACATTCCGCCATCCCTGGTGTGGTGCGTGCCAGTAACAAACGAAAAAGCTTGGCGATGTGGGAAGGACCGAATGGTGGAGTCACAACTGCAGAAGTCCTCATGGAGTTTACCGAGAATCACTCTCCGTGCTCCGTCAGTCATTTTCGTAGTAGTGCCCGTCACTCAACATCATGAAGTTCTTGAGATGCTGGGGCGCACACGTGTTTGGTCTTGGATCATGCAGTCTTGCACTTGATCATACAACGAGTGCATCGCACCATCCCTGGCCTGCTTGCAAATAACCCCGATCCTAGCACCATGTAAAGGTTCGCCTGAGTATTCGGCGAAACGTGACATGTGCAACAAGTTGACAGGAAATGGTGCAAGAAGCTGCCATTTGGGCCATCCGTCTCCCTTTCGGGCTGTCACTGTCAAAAAGTCATCTTCCTCTGGATGTACAGAATATTCCTGGGATCCGAAACCGCTTGTCCTTTTTCGCGGATATTCCAGCTGGGTCCCCTTGGCTTTTCCTTCTTCATTCAGCTGCTTGGCTTAGCCAACCCACGTGCGACGTTTTGGTGCGCGCCTCCAGCTCCATCCGCTGGGGCAGCGACACGGTCACGCTCTGGTGTCCCGGCTGCCGGACGATGTGGCAGGAGCCTACCACCTCCAAGACCTGAGGGAAACAACCAGACGTGAAATTTCACGATTGAAGATTGTTGGTGTGTCAAGAGGTGAAATCCACTGCCCTCTTTCCAATGGAAGTATGGGAAGTGCCCAGGGGGCTTTGGAAGACTGTACCAGCATCCTAAAACGGCCGCCTGCTTTCGTCACTGTTGGAAAGAGGGTATGGAGGCCTTTGCAGCCGGCTGCACTTTTCTTCCAAGGTTGCAAAAACTAAGCGCCATTTGATGCTGTGGGGGCTGCCAAAAAGTCACCATTCGGCAGTACCATGCGCGACAGTCCACCCCCCCTTATCCACCCAGGAACCCCCCCCAACCCCCACGCGCCAACCCCCCAGCCACATCCAAGAACCAACTGGACTGGGTGCCCGACAATCTCAACCCTCCAACCAACCAATCCCAACCAATCCCAACCAATCCCAACCAATCCCAACCAATCCCAACCAATCCCAACCAATCCCAACCAATCCCCATCCCTCCTCCAGCTTAAGGCTGCCGGAGGCCGGGAAGCGCAGGGTCCTGCCCAAGGCCAGTCGCCGCAGCGTCCTCCAGCGCTTCGACATCCCTAGCGCACATTTTCTCCCAAACCCACGGAAATAAGCCCATCCAACCGCAAAACCTGACCGCCTTATTTGCAATTGGGGCATCTGCAGTACATACAGTCTGTAGGCATCCTGGAGAAAATTAGAATATTATCCCAAAGGGCTAACAACTACTTGTAGGCTGGCAGCTGCTTGTACCCACCAGAGAAAAAGGCTTCTGCAACAATTCTGTGGGTTGGTCAGGCAGAAGGCGTTCCTGAAGGACTTGCCCTCTGCCAAGCTGTCCTTTTGGATTGGGAAAATGTACAAATGATCAGCAAACTCAACCTGAGCTGCGCCTCCAACGAGATCAAGTGAACCCATTCAAGTTTGTTTTGGCCAGGGTAGATGGACGGCTTCCTTCATGCGAAAAAGCAAAGGGGATGACTAAACCATGATATGGAATTATGCCAAGCACTTTCACGCGACTGTAGTTCCAACGGGGAAAACTCCAAGGACATCTACCTGTCACCCTGGCCCAATCCGCGCGTCCTTTGCCCGCCGCTGGTGACACTGATGTAACTGCCCGCCGGCACGCCGTGCGCACACGTGGCGCTGACGAGCATGGCCGGTTGCTGAGCCAAGAGTTTCAGTCTTCTCTGGAGGCGGAAGCCCAGACCCCACTTGAGGGGCTGGGGGGAGGCTTGAGTTAAGCCTCCCTAAATGATCGTGTCCTCAATGGACATCGAGTCAACGCAAGTCCAGGGGTCACCACCCTCCAAGCTCATTGTCCACCTGAAGAGTCCCCGACTTCGAATCCTCAGCATGCAAAGAAAACGAGAAACCATTTTCTTTTTGAAGGAAGTGGACCCTTTTCCCTGCTGGTTGGCTCCTTCGAACGGGTTTTCTTCCTCGCGCTGAGCGCACGGCCTCACGGCTCAAGGCGGAGCTAGTCACTTGGAGCAGCTTAAATTCATGGACCCATGCAAAAGTTCCATGAGGTGAGGCTTTCAGGGCTTGTCTGGGGCTTACCCTGCCCTTATCCAGGGGTTGGGCTACATAGATTCCGGGTTCGATCATCCTCTAGCATCTCATCCCAAATCCCTATCCCCCTATGTGTTCAGAGGGCGGCTGAACACCAAGATTCGGTCTTGATGTCCCAAACCTGAACCCAACCCTTCTTTGATAAATCAAAAGGAGATCTGCGAAACTGCCCCAAGGTCCCGCTTGCAGCCACGCCTCATTGCCTCATCATCGGAAGCCTTGCCTGGCAAGCTAAAGCAGTCGAAGCAATCCTCGTTGGACTGCAAAAAGAGCAGGATCGACGTCTTTTGAACAGAAATCGACAAATGAACAAGTCCTCAAATGCTGCATACTCCGCCGACGCTGGTCAAAAGCGTCTTGCAATCCCAAAGCAGGAGGCTTCATGGACGACAACACATGTTCTCTGTTCTCTTCTTGTCCAGCATCTCCAGCATCCCCAGCATATCAGCACCAGCATATCCAGCATCCCCAACCTCTCCAACATCCTCAAGCATCACAGCGTGTGCAGCATCCCTCACATCCACAGCAGCCCAACTATGCCCAGCAGCATCCCATCATCCCCAGCATCCCCAACATTCCCAGCATCCCCGGCATCCCCAGCACCAGCATCCCAGCGTCCCCAGCATTCCCAGCATCACCAGCATCCCATGATCCCCAGCATCCCCAGCATCTCCAGCATCTCCAGCATCACCAGCATCTCCAGCATCACCAGCATCTCCAGCGTCTCCCGCATACCAGCACCAAGCATATCCAGCATCCCCAACCTTGCCAGCATTCTCAGCATTCCCAGCATCACCAGCATCTCCAGCATCCCAGCATATCAGCACCAGCATATCCAACATCCCCAACCTTCCAGCATCCCAGCATCCCAGCATTCCAGCATCGCCAGCATCATCGCTAGCATTTCCAACATTCCCAGCCCCAGCATCACTAGCACGTCTAGCATGCACAGCATCCCCATGCTGGTGGTCCACACACAGCGCTGAAATGGAAGAACCCAGGTTGCAATGGTACATTGACCACGATGTACAACACCCAGCCTAAAACTGTTTGTGGCCGGTTTGAACATGCTCGAAAGGGTTTTGACAGTTTCTGGAAACCTGAAGTCAGCCGGTAGTTTCACCATGGCACCCATGACCCTCCCAACCCTCCGAACGCCCGCCTGCTTTAAGGCCTGGGAGACAGCCACAAGCCCGCACGTGTTGTGTTCGGGGCTGTGTGTTGTTTGGTGCCCGGTTTGGCGGTTGGTTTATATACTGGGAACCCAAAGGGAAAACCACCATTTCCGCGGTCCGCATTTGAGACATGGCCATTCAAAAGCACGATTAGCACACCTTGTCCAGACTGCATTCAATGCAGTGCAAAAATAGAGGCTGCTCCTACCGGCAAGTGGCTGAGGGCTCCCAACCGTCCGCATGTAAATAACAACAAAACTAAGTGTAGCTTTTGTCATCTACTTGTACGGCAGCCAGGGAGCTGAATCTGCCTTGCAAGTTGAGCAGTCAGTGTTGTGCTGCCTCATGCCGTCTGGGCCGTGTGAAATGGCACAATGGCACAATCTTGCCAAGGTGTCTTGGATATCAGGCCCCACATCAGTCTCACAATGTACACAACGCATATTGGCATCCCTGAGCAGCATGTGCGACAGTCAGGGAGCTGAATCTGCCTTGCAAGCTGAGCAGTCAGTGTTGTGCTGCCTCATGCCGTCTGGGCCGTGTGAAATGGCACAACGGCACAATCTTGCCAAGGTGTCTTGGATATCAGGCCCCACATCAGTCTCACAATGTACACAACGCATATTGGCATCCCTGAGCAGCATGTGCGACAGTCAGGGAGCTGAATCTGCCTTGCAAGCTGAGCAGTCAGTGTTGTGCTGCCTCATGCCGTCTGGGCCGTGTGAAATGGCACAACGGCACAATCTTGCCAAGGTGTCTTGGATATCAGGCCCCACATCAGTCTCACAATGCACACAACGCTTACTTCCATCCCTGAGCAGCATGTGCGACAGTCAGGGAGCTGAATCTGCCTTGCAAGCTGAGCAGTCAGTGTTGTGCTGCCTCATGCCGTCTGGGCCGTGTGAAATGGCACAATGGCACAATCTTGCCAAAGTGTCTTGGATATCAGGCCCCGCAACTGTCTCACAATGCACACAACGCTTACTGCCATCCCTGAGCAGCATGTGCGACAGTCAGGGAGCTGAATCTGCCTTGCAAGCTGAGCAGTCAGTGTTGTGCTGCCTCATGCCGTCTGGGCCGTGTGAAATGGCACAACGGCACAATCTTGCCAAGGTGTCTTGGATATCAGGCCCCACATCAGTCTCACAATGCACAACGCTACTTCATCCCTGAGCAGCATGTGCGACAGTCAGGGAGCTGAATCTGCCTTGCAAGCTGAGCAGTCAGTGTTGTGCTGCCTCATGCCGTCTGGGCCGTGTGAAATGCACAATGGCACAATCTTGCCAAGGTGTCTTGATATCAGGCCCCGCAACTGTCTCACAATGCACACGCTTACTTCCATCCCTGAGCAGCATGTGCGACAGTCAGGGAGCTGAATCTGCCTTGCAAGCTGAGCAGTCAGTGTTGTGCTGCCTCATGCCGTCTGGGCCGTGTGAAATGGCACAATGGCACAATCTTGCCAAGGTGTCTTGGATATCAGGCCCCACAACAGTCTCACAATGCACACAACGCTTACTTCCATCCCTGAGCAGCATGTGCGACAGTCAGGGAGCTGAATCTGCCTTGCAAGCTGAGCAGTCAGTGTTGTGCTGCCTCATGCCGTCTGGGCCGTGTGAAATGGCACAAGGCACAATCTTGCCAAGTGTCTTGGATATCAGGCCCCACATCAGTCTCACAATGCACAACGCTTACTTTCATCCCTGAGCAGCATGTGCGACAGTCAGGGAGCTGAATCTGCCTTGCAAGCTGAGCAGTCAGTGTTGTGCTGCCTCATGCCGTCTGGGCCGTGTGAAATGGCACAATGGCACAATCTTGCCAAAGTGTCTTGGATATCAGGCCCCACATCAGTCTCACAATGCACACAACGCTTACTTACATCCCTGAGCAGCATGTGCGACAGTCAGGGAGCTGAATCTGCCTTGCAAGCTGAGCAGTCAGTGTTGTGCTGCCTCATGCCGTCTGGGCCGTGTGAAATGGCACAATGGCACAATCTTGCCAAAGTGTCTTGGATATCAGGCCCCACATCAGTCTCACAATGCACACAACGCTTACTTCCATCCCTGAGCAGCATGTACGACAGTCAGGGAGCTGAATCTGCCTTGCAAGCTGAGCAGTCAGTGTTGTGCTGCCTCATGCCGTCTGGGCCGTGTGAAATGGCACAATGGCACAATCTTGCGAAAGTGTTTTGCATATCACCCCACAACTGTCTCACAATGCACACAACGCTTGCTTCCATCCCTAAGCAGCACGTGCGACAGTCTGGAAGCTGAATCTGCTTTGCACGTTAGCAGTTAGTGTTCTGCTCACCCGGCAGCAAGAAATGGCACAATGGCAGGGTCTGCAGCAAACGGTTCTTTGTGGCAGATTGGATGGTAAATTACAGTGCACTTGCCGGGCCAGCTTCACCACTGCTTTCATAACAGGAAAACATCCTTGGCCCGAAAGGTGATGCTCAAAGGACCAGGTGAAAGTTGGCCATGGGTCAAAATCCCAATCTCCACAAAATAGACTAAAATGGGTGGTGCACCTACCCCAAAATGAGATCCCATTGGTTTTGACCCACAGCCAGTTTGCTACGGAAACGGAAGCCTTGCCCCGCCTTTCTGCGACGAAGTTTTGCCCGCCTCGAAAGCGAAAGCATGGGTCGGTGGACAGGTGCGCGGAAAAGGCACAAGGTTCGACTTGCGTCCACTCAAAGGGGATTCAACAAAGTTGAAAGCAAGGTCAGTGGGTGGGAGGGTCACTCTTTCTAACAATCTGGAAGCGGATGCGGGGGATGGTGGTCTTCCAAAACCCTTCTGTCAGCTTTCACGGCATTCATCCCGGTGAAGCTCTGTGTAAGAACCTGCAAAGCCGCTACGAAGAATACGAATAGGGCGTGTCGATGGGAAAGAAGAAAAAAGCCAAAGGTACATTGCATGTCCACAGGCAAAAGCAACCTGACAATTGTAAATCCTGGCATGAAGGTGTGGCCTCAAGTGCAGACTTCCTTGGATTGTTGCTTGGAAGTATCGAAACGCGCAAACACATGAGCTTTTCCTTTTTGGACACCCTTCTGTTCTCGCTGGCCAACTTTGGCCTGCCTGGGACCGATCAGAAGTGGTCAACAAGTCGGGTGGTTGGGAAGACTACCATCCTCTTGAAAAGGTCCCTTGTCCAGCTCAATAATTGTTGAACAAAATCAACATCGGCTTACTCAAATGGCACTCAGAGCCCACCTCCCCCACCTCCCCCGCAGTGAGCTGGTCGCAAGATGCTCTAATCAATTGCGGAGCCTAGCCATGCCATGCCCCCTGTCATCCATGATGGGGGGGACATGCTTTTCCGATTTGCTGCAAGGTGCAATGCCTTCCGCTCGCTTACCTTTTTGGGGCTGCAGTTTGAAAGCATCCCGGAAAGCATCCCAGAAAGGTGTTGAAGGATGGTGCAAATGAGGAAAGTTGTGGTGTGCCGGCACAGCAATGATGGCATATGAAGAATCAAGACCCTCGCCTTTAACATGTGATCGCCGGTTCTCCGCCTTTTTTTCCTCCAGATCGCGCCCGAAAACCCGGAGGTCGTCGTCTTTCAAACCGGAACCCCAAAGGTCGGCGTGCCGCGTCGGCCTTCCGTCCCCCAGTCGCGCCTGGCCCAGGCCCAGGCAGTCCAGGACATCCTCGGCCGAAACTCGGGGAACGAAGATTTGATCTCAAAACATCCGTTTCTTGCGACACCCTAAGCAAATCGATAGATTGGTATCAATAGATTTGATATCACAGAAAGCGGCAACATCCGGTGGAATAAGAAATCAACATCATAGCCTCCATCAAGGACTCGCTGGACCTGTACCCATGCGGGGAGCTTCCACACCCCCAAGCCAAGCCCTTCCAACGGGGCCACACGTGTTGTAGCCACTAATCCTCTTCGACAACCTCCTTCCCAGGATAAAGATTGGAGCCTCGCGGGTGAAAACAAATTGCCAGCAACGGGAGCCAACCTTGGGTGGCTGACCTTGGGTGGCTGGTTCAACCCTATTCCTGGGGGGGGGGTGCAAAGGAAACCACCGTCCCAACCAATTACCCTCCCTCCTGCATCGAAGCTGACAGAAGATCCCTTGAGTCCAAGGTCCGCTTCCATGGCATCGTCGCTGGGTAAGTCAGGGGCTGAGTGTAACAGCTGAGCTGATGGACGGACCCACCATTTTCCAAAGGAACCCTGTTAAAAGTATGATTGTCCGAAGCCCCACAAGTTTCATGACTGACTCTACTCCAAGAGATCTGTTCAACCTTTACGTCAGCCGAGTACGGCTTGAAACCCTAGGTGTCCTTTCGAACAATAGACGGCACCATAATAAGACTCAAATTTAAGCCCGTGCAAGCTATGTTTGACCAAACTGATCTAAAAGGAAACCTATGAAGCCGCAAGCGACTTTCAAGCCGATCTAGCGGGGTCCATCCAGCTTTAAAACCCAAACCCAAGTGCGGTCAGCCGCTCAGCCCCACAGTTTCAACCCCAACGGGTATCTCAAAATCTGATGTCCTTTCCTTTTCCCTTTACCGACCAAGCAAAGTGGCTCCGAAAAACCGTCGACCCCAGATTTCCGTCAGCTTCCCAACGGAGCTTCCCGGCGGAACGCTTCTGCCGCTTCGACGCTGGCTCCGCGGTGCCACGCCTGTGCGCACTGCGGCCCGAAACATCCGGAGACTTCCGCCCGGACACATCTGCCTCTTCCTGGTGAAAACTGCCTCTGCAGGTCGTGTGAGTCACGTGTCTGACTACTTCCTAGTGACCCACGCTACCCGTTGCGTTTTTCCATGTGCCCTCACAGATATTTGAGTTATTGCTTACAATGCGCGAGGTATATACAAGGGAATATGATCGCGGCTTGTTCTCAATGGTAGCACTGACACAGAGGTTACTGTACACCAATCTCGCAACCCCCTTCAAAACCAACCCAAATCGAGTCCCCCCCCAAAAAAGAAAAGAAAAAAATGACCACTTGCGAAGTGCGTGCCCCGGTTTGGCTCAAAGTTGAGGCTGCCACCCTAGCAGGGCATTCAGCCGCATGGCGCGCGAGTGCGGATCGCAGCCCGTTGGAAGCTCAAAATGGGGTGTCTCTCAAAATTGGGGGTCCCCTAAAACGGTTGGTGTCCATCTGGCTTCCCTTCACCAAAAAGCGGGCTCCTCTTGAGAAACCAGATGTCCTATTGGCTCGAGGTTCTCGTGGAGTCTCGTTGCAGACTTCTCGCGTTTTCTCACATAGACCCAACATGAACTCAGGGTCTCCCGAGCGCCTCAACATCAACCCGCTCTGTTCGCTTGCAAAACCGTATGCAGCTGCCTGAAGCCACGAGATTCGGTGACGCGATGTTAGACCGCATGCTGAGAAGGCGACACCTGAGCATTCACAAACAAAACACACTAGGGCCATCTCCAAGCAAACCTGCGACGCAAAACGAAACAAGCCCCAATAGCCATTGTGTCAATCATCGCCGTCAAATCTGTGATCAAGGTACTGTGGAAACTCCACAAACATCTTGGGAGCTAATGCAAAGCCCAGCGTCCTGCTGTCAAAACAAGCCCAGTTCCCGTGCTCCACAGTGGCTTCTCCAGTCCAAACAATTCCTGATGAATCGACTCGGATCCCGAGGCACAAAAAGGAAAATCGACTCACATGAGAGTTCAGCCAAGCTGAGCTTCCCGAGGGTTTGCTTCACTTCTAGGGCTTGTCTTAAAATAGGGGGAACCCCCAATTGGGCGGTGCAATTGGGCGGGGACCTCCACTTACTCATGCGGATGCACACCTTGGGAAACCAGAAGGAAAGCGAAGCACCGCTCAAACTATGTGTCATTCCTCCCAGAAAGATGGTGTTAATTAAAGGGGACCTCAAATTTTCTAGCTTTCCTTTTGGCTGCCCTGTAAGTACCACCTCAAAAAGGGTCCCTCGAAAAACACACACCTCTCCAGTGATTGAGACATCCCACGAAATAAGCAAGGGGCTCTCGCAAAGAACCTGCGATGAAGCGCCCATGCAGCCCTTTTGTACTCCCCGAAAGAAGGAACCAATTTTGGGCTGGTGGGTTTTACTGGGTCTCCCTTTTGAACCACCCAGAAGGAGGCTCCCTTTTAGGAATCACCCCAGTCAAGAACAGAAGAAAACCCGCAATTGTAGTCCTGCCCTCAACTCTGAATTCCTTCTTTCAACTAGCCCTCAATCCGAACTGCTCTTGTTTTGTTGGGCTCTAGTGGGTATCCATCTGTCCCTCTTTTGGCCTGCAACACTATGTGAAGTGTGCCTGTAGGTGGGATGGGACACAGACCTGCGTGTTCCTTTTTTGCAGAAACCCTGATATCGGTGTATCTGCAATGCAAGACTGCTACAAGTTCTGCCAGAATATTGTTGGATGCTGATGCTCACATCGTTGATATATTTACTTGGTGCTCCATGATCAGAACGTGAAGCGATTCCAAGTAGGGCACCCGTTCGAAGGCAGCGTTGTCAAGCTAGAACGTGCACTACTGTGTGGCAGTCCCACTTATTTGTTTGAAGCAGCTCCGAATAAGGCAGATTTTATGTAGTTGCTTATCTTTCTCTTCCTCTTCCTCAACAAAAATGGGGGAGCAGGGGTGTTGCCTTCTCATCCAGATCCATCCACCATGTGACGTGTCCTTCCAAACTTCATGCAACCTTCTCGTGCAGACTTTTCCCCATCCGCTGCTTTTTGGCCGGTTGCTCCGGCCTGGCGCCGCGGAGATCGAGCCATGGGATGTGGTGCAGCAAGCTGAAGCTTGGTGGCGAACACTGAAAACCTGCAAAGTCTGCTGGCCAATGAGGGGGGGTTAGCAGTAGGAGCTGGCTGGTGAAACGGGCCCGGAAAAAGAAAAAGGCACCTGGATAGAGATGCCGACCACTTTATTTACAAACTATCGCAACATCTACGTTTCGTCGAGAATGGAAACCGCGAGATTGACGTTTAGTCAGCAGATTATCTACAAACTATCATCGCAGCATCTACTTTAGCAAAGGGGAAAGGCACCAACATGCTGGTGATGCTGGGGATGTCGACAATGTTTTAGTTTACGGACCAGAGCGACGGATACTGGAGGTGTCGACCTTTAGACGAAAACTGTTCAATCTGCACATGTTCCAAGTTTCGATCATTTTGTGCAAGCTTCGTTTGTGATGGGAAGACCTGGGAAAAGGCTTCATTCCAACTTCGGGAACGTATCAAGCAGTTCTACCCATTTCCTGCCATGGTTTTGCGGGTGTCTTTTTCTCCCAAGCCAAAACCCCCTCAGCTCGCGGCTACTTCTCCAAGTTGATGCTGGTGCCGAACTTGGCGTAGAGAACCTTCCGAGGCTTGGGAGGCCTCTGAATACAACGCGACCCACAGAGAAGCTTGCCATCATTGCCTAGGCTGGCAACAGAACACGCACATGCAAGTGGACAGCTTCCTGAAAAGAGCCTTCCCACAGCATCCCTGGTATTCTTGATTCTGACACAAGTCGTGAAAGTGCGAACCTCTCTCTTGGACCTATTGTTCAACCCGCTCAACTTACAGAAAGCGCCGAAGCAAAATCACGGAAATCATGCAAACTACCAAACTACCATGTAAATCACCAAAACGAACAACCCAATACCAAACCACCAAACTCAGCCACGCAAACCACCAAACAAACAGGCAGATCAGCACCAAAAATACTGAAAGCTGCAAACTCAGCCACACAAACCACCAAACTCACGCAAATCACTACTAAAAGAACCACACCAACCACCCAACCACCAAAACTACCCAAACCGCGAAGT